TTTTTTGTTTTTCTTTGTTTTACTTTCTTTTGTCTTTTTGTTTTATTTTCACCAAAGAAATAAACTCACAATTAAATGCTAGCTTAAAAAATAAGAGATTCTTCTCCAAGATAAAACCCACTTTAAAAAAAATAATTTGGGAAAATAATCCAAGAGATTAACTAGATTTTAAAACCCATAAAACCCATAATATGAACTAAAAGGGGAAAATTAAATCTACAAAACATTGAATTAAGATTTAATTAAAAATCTATTTCCAAAAGTTGAAAACTTAATTTATCTTAACTAACAGAATTAAACTTAAATTCTAATTCACCCAAAATTTGAACTCCAAATTAGAAAACCAAGAATTTAATTACCAGCTTAGGGAAAAAATCTAAAGGCTGAAATTAAATCTTAAGATAAAGTAGTTAGAGAACACGGGGGGTTATAGATACGAGATTAATCGGTCAAACTCATTAACCGACCTAATCAACATTTGTAAATTACAGGTCTAGGTGTATGACGAATATTCGCTGAACTCTTCTCGCTCAGAATATTTTTGTGTCTACGGATATATGACCATTAATGGTATCAGTTCAATGTACATCTTATGCACATTAATTTTAACCTATAATTTTAATATGAATCTTATTGATATTAATTTTTATTTGAATCTCATTCCAATAATTTCTCTTATAATATATAGTATAAATTTTGAATCTTTATCCAACATTAATATATATTTATATATAATGTATCAATATACATTATATACATTCGCTTATATAATTTCAACATTTCAAATTATATCATAATTCTTGATCCTCGTTTTAGCCGTTGTGAGCTAGCAAAAGGACCTAATGGACCTACAGATCAGAAGCTCCAATAATATGAGATTAGTCGGTCAAAGTCATTAACCGAGCTAATCAACATTCATTAACTGTGGGTCACTCCACTAAAGACCTCCAACTGCACTCTTCTCACTGCATAATATTTTCGTGTCCACGGATTTACGACCATTAATGATAAGTCAATCCTTCACGAGTGCTCGTAACTCAAGTTGGGTCAAATTACCGTTTTACCCATGAGTTACATCTTACTCCTTAAATACCACTGCTATTCTAATGAACAATCCGATTATGGTACAACCAATAACTAAAAGTCTCTCTCGGGCCAGTGAGATGGTGAGGTCCCTTGTTCAAGTCCCGAAGTCAACATTTACGAAAACACTCATCTACTCCCCGAAAGTCAAGGAGGAGTGCATTCCATCTCGTGAAGTTATGTTCCCAATCCCCCACTCAATCTCATCCCTAAAATGAAAAGAATGTTGAGTCGGCGACTCGGGCCACTCTCACTCATACAGATAAAAGGACGAGCTCTCATGGGCATGATTCCATAACTCATTCAAGATTGAGAATGAGTTGTCTGTGAAGGGATGTGAATCCCAGAGCGGAAGCAGATCTTCGTCGCTGATTTTCGGGATATAAAATCGAATTTCAAAAGAAGGAAAATACAGAGGAAACTTTACCTTTGAAGAACGTTTCTTCAACGAGTTTCCCTCGAACACCACCAATATGTCTTCCTCGCTATTCTCTTGGGTCTCGGGATCGTGCTGGTAGGAGCAATCCTTTGGAACGAGAGAAAAAATCGAGAGAAAAAAGCTTGATAGAGAGAAAAAAACCTTGGGTGTTCTTCTGTTCTGTAACTTTTGCAGAACTGAAAAAACAAAACCAAAAGCAGTGACGTGGGCTAACTCCCCACGTCACACTAACCTCCCACTCCCCTGCAATTTTGCAGGGGAGTTTAATATTATTAATATTAATAATATTAATAATATATATATATATTTATATATAAATAATTAATATATATATAATAATTAAAATATAAAAATAATTTATTAATTAATCATATTAATTAATAAATAATTATTAATTATTAATCCAATTAATAATTAATATATATATATATATCAAAAAAATAATTAACACTTAATTATTTATCACAAAAAATAGAATCATATTCTATAACATTTCTCTCGTATAACCTATAGTTCTAATGTACATCTTATGCACATTATTTTTAACCTATAGTCTTAATATGAACCTTATTCATATTAATTTTATTTGAATATCATTCAAATAATTTCTCTCATAATATATAGTTTTAATTTATAATTAACTATATATTATAATGTATCAATATACATATAATCCCTTAAGTAATTTGAACAATTCAAATTCTTCCAAAAATTTGATCCTCGTTTTACCCGTTATGAGCTAGCAATGGGACCTAATGGACCTACAGATCCGAAGCTCCAACGATGCCAGATTAATCGGTCAAACTCATTGACCGAGTTAATTTAGATTCGTTAACTACGGATCATTCCACTAAAGACCCGCAGTTGCACTCTTCTCACTGCAGAATGTTTTCGTGTCCATGGATATACGACCATTTATGACGAGTCAATCCTTCATGAGTATTCGTAACTCAAGTTGGGTCAAATTACCGTTTTACCCCTGAGTTACATCTTACTCCTTAAACACCACTCCTCCTCTAATGAACAACCCGGTTATGGTCCAACCAATAATCGGAAGTCTCCCTCGTCCAATGAGTGGGTAGGGCCCCTTGTTCATGTCCCGGAGTCAGCATTTAAGGGAACACTCATCTACTCCCCTAAAGT